TCTTGTTCAGGCTTATTTAATTTGTTTCTTATTATTCACTATTAAAACAAATACAAAAAATAAACATTCTTAAAAACGAGTCCTTGTGGGGCGCCTGGGTGGCTCAGTTGGTTAAGCGACTGCCTTCGGCTCAGGTCATGATCCCGGGGTCCTGGGATCGAGTCCCGCATCGGGCTCCCTGCTCTGCGGGGAGCCTGCTTCTCCCTCTCCCACTCCCCCTGCTTGTGTTCCCTCTCTCGCTGTGTCTCTCTCTGTCAAATAAATAAAATAAAAAATCTTTAAAAAAAAAAAAATGAGTCCTTGTGTACATCTGGTAATTTCTGTGGGGTATATACCAAGAAGTAAAATTCCTGAGGAATAGTATATGAACATCTTCAACATTATTGTCTAATTACTCACCAAAGTGACTATATTCATCCGTGAACACTTTAAAATGATTTCATTTTTTTTCCTACTCTAACAAGTGTGACTTGTACAGAATTGTGGCTTAGTTGTTATTTCCCTACTCATGAATAACACTGAATATCTTTTGTTAAATTCATCAGCTAACAGATTTTCATTTCTATAAATTGCCCATTGGGTTGTTTTATTTCTTACTGATTTGATTTTTTCTCCTTAATTCTATATAAATTTTTAAAAGATTTTATTTATTTATTTGATAGAAAGAGACAGCGAGAGAGGGAACACAAGCGGGGAGGGGGAGAGGGAGAAGCAGGCTTCCCACTGACCAGGAAGCCTGACGTGGGGCTCGATCCCATGACCTGAGCTGAAGGCAGACGCTTAACGACTGAGCCACCCAGGTGTCCTATATTTGAATATTTTATCAATTATTATGTATTCCAAATAGATTCTGCCACACTGTGGCTTTATCTTTATATTTTATTTATGGTATCATTTGCTGCACACCAAGGACTGCAAATTTTAATAGTCAAATCTGGTATTATTTTTCTGTTACTCATTTTGAATCTTAATCTTGCTAAAGAAAATCTTCCCCAAAGTTCATGAAGATAGTCTCAATTTTCTCCTAAAAGATTAGCTCTTCTTTTCTTTTTTTCTTTTTAAAGATTTTATTTATTTATTTGACAGACAGAGAGAGAGAGACAGCTAGAGAGGGAACACAAGCAGGGGGAGTGGGAGAGGGAGAAGCAGGCTCCTGGCCGAGCAGGGAGCCTGATGCGGGGCTCGATCATGACCTGAGCCAAAGGCAGACGCTTAACGACTGAGCCACCCAGGCGCCCCAAGATTAGCTTTTCTTATTTAGATTTATAATTCCCATGACTGTTTGATTTTTGTATTTTATACATAGTAGGAACAAATGGTGACTCTATTCCCATTGCCACCTTTCATTTCAGGCCCTCGGTACCTCAAAAGTACTAGAAGTCATGACAGTGGTTACCTTTAAGGAAGAAGGAAGGGTACAGTTCTATTTACTGACCAGGGTGGTAGGTATGTTCACTTCATTGATATACACTGAGCTGTACACTAATGATCTGTACAATTTTCTATATGCATGTTGTAATGGTGTGCTAAAGCTAGCTCCTACTGGTTTATGGGAGCCAACTGTTAAGTCGAAATTTTGTGAATTATCTGTCAAACTGTCACTGGCTTAAAATCAGCCATGAAGAAACTATATCATTAAATTTGACAAAAGCAACAAATGAGGAATTTTTCTTTTCCCAAATAGCATGTATGTCTGTTATATTTCAATAAAAAAAAGTCTAAAAACTTGTATCGTTTGGTATGTAAGTCTGGGGGAATTTATACTAAAAAAGTAAATCCTCAACATGTAAGGGTAAATATACTTTGATGCTGCTTGTGGTTGCAAGAAAACCCCCCAAAACCAAAAAACTAGAAACAACATGGAAGAAAAAGAGGAGGGAAAGAGAGAGAGAGAAAAGGCTGGGGAAATTATGGTATATATATATATATGTGTGTGTGTGTGTGTGTGTGTGTGTGTGTATATATATATCTTCAGATACTATGCAACTACTAAAAAAGTAGGAGTCAAATTTATCTGTAGTGACGTAGGGGTATGCCCAAAACATATTAAGTGAAAATAAAGTAAACTGCAAAAAAAATACATACATGATATAATTTAACTACTATAAAACCAAAAGTATTCTTTATACATATGGATATGTTTTTATATAATTTTATGAATATAGATAAAATTGTGGAAGTACACATACAAACCATTCACAAAGGGAAGTGTAACTGGATGGGGCTGAAAGAAGAGTAGTAACTTTCTCTATGAATACCCCTATACTACTGGACTTATTCCAAAAGGTTATTCTGCAATTGAAAATAATCCAGTAAAGGGGCGCCTGAGTGGCTCAGTTGTTAAGCATCTGCCTTCGGCTCAGGTCATGATCCCAGGGTCCTGGGATCGAGCTTCGCATCGGGCTCCCTGCTCCGCGGGAAGCCTGCTTCTCCCTCTCCCACTCCCCCTCCTTGTGTTCCCTCTCTTGCTGTCTCTGTCAAATAAATAAATAAAATCTTTAAAAAAAAAAAAAGAATCCAGTAAAGTTTAATCAATCTTATTTAAAAAGGGGTGAATCATAACAAAATTCACATAAGTGGTTGGTTTATCTATAATTTCTTTCTATTTTAATCTAACTTCTACTCTTGCCTTTCAAAAGGCCATTTTTTTTTTTTTTAAAGATTTTATTTATTTATTTGTTTGAGAGAGGGAGACAGCGAGAGAGGGAACACAAGCAGTGGCAGAGGGAGAGGGAGAAGCAGGCTCTGCACTGAGCAGGGAACCCGATGCGGGACTCGATCCCAGGACCCCGAGATCATGACCTGAGCCGAAGGCAGACGCTCAACCATCTGAGCCACCCAGGCGCCCTCAAAAGGCCATTTTCATCAAGGATACTCTTCTATTAAAAAACATTAACAGGGGCGCCTGCGTGGTTCAGTCGGTTAAGTGTCTGACTCTTGATTTTGGCTCAGGTTGTGTTCTCGGGGTTGTGGGATCGAGCCCCACATGTGGCACCCCTCCTGGTGGGGAGTCTGCTTGAGATTCTCTCTCTCCCCCCCCGGCCCTCCCCCTGCCCTTCTCGTGCTCGCTCTCTCTCAAATAAACAAAAGAGAAAAAAACATTAACAATCCTTCATGGCCTATAGGATTAAATCTAAAATTAGTAAAGAGCACTAAAGTATAAGCCAGGAGATCTGGGATCTAGTTCTAATGAGTGACTACAAGATGTCATGGCTGCCACAAGGAAAATGAGAGGCATGAGATGGAGAATTAGTTTGCCTTCAGATACCTACAGTATGGTATGTTAGAAGGCAATATGGCAAGTGACTGAATAATCCTAGACTTGGATTCTAGCACTGCCACTTACTAGTTATGTGACCTTAAGCACGTTACTTATCCATTTTTAAGCCTCAGTTTCTTGTTCAGTGAAGTAGGGCTAATAATACTGACCTTTCAGGGTTATAATAGCTATTAACAATAAAATTTGTAAAGCATCTACCCATAATGCAACTTAGTAGGTACTAAGTAGATAATTTCTGTTATTACAATCAACCTCATTCAGCCAGCATTTCAAGACCTTTGCAATCTTTTCCACCACCAATATAATTTTGAATTATTTAGGGATTATACAGGTCAAATACTGAGCTAGGAACTTGACATACACAATCTCATTAAATTATATTATTATTAAATTAATGTTATCATTGTAATAGCCTCAAATTGTGTGACTTAATCTTATTTTATGGATTAAAAAATGAGGTTTAAACAGGTAATGTAATTTTATAAAGTTACAAAGTTTATAACAGTTCGTTATAGTTTATTATAAAGTTTATTATTGTAAGTTAGCAGCTTGCAGAGTAGGAACTCAAGTTTAAATTTTAAAGTTGAAATGTAAAGCCAGAACTGTGCGACGCCAAGTCCACATCTGTGCCTGTTGTGCTACGTGCGCTGCCGCAGACATGAACTTTCCCTGCTCTATACTTGTTCCCACCACCCGGCCCCTCTCAGGCCCAACCTGAACTCCACCTGCTTCATAGAAGCAGTTTGTCATTCTACCAATAACACAGTCATTTCTTTTTTGTTCTACTTGGTTTTTAGGTCTAGAACATCCATTCAAACATCAACATATCGCAATGTCACAGAATATGCTCTAAGTGATCATTTTCTTGTTAAATTCTGTTTTTTTTTTCAGTATGAAGTTTAAATTCCTTATAGACAGAAGAAATAACTTTTCCAGGTCACAACAGACTTACCTATCTTTGACACAGGAAGTCAAAATATTGGGAGAATGACAGAATTCTGCATTTTCGTAACAAGGCAAATGACAATGAATGGTGATAATTAAGAAGAAACCCAAATGTTAAAGGACACACGTTTCTGACACAAGTACCTGGGTAACAGTAATAGGCAGAGAAAACACAGATGGTATATGGTAGTGTTCTAACTGCAGAATAGAGAACAATGAACACTAACCAGAAGCTCTTTGGTCTCCCATTGTCTTGCCCTAGATTTGACAGGCTGTAGAGATTAAATGGCTGTGGACAGTGTAAAGAGAAAGAAATCTAATAGTTTCTAAGAGATGAAATGATCACTTTGGAACCTTTTATGACCATAACTATGCTATCATTTTCACCAAGGCTCAAATTAGAACCAATATATTTTCAGTTTAAATTAAATGTGAATGTAAGCATTCACTTTATTTCTATAAGAAGACACAACAGGAGAGGTAGGTTGCTCATGCCAATTATTTCATATTACTAATTTAAAACTTATTCAGTATTGCTCACAATGGGTGGACCATAGCAGGCCTATTTCAGGCTATTTCCATATCCCCTCCAGAGGTGAGGATACATTTTAATGAAGCAAGATTCTTTTTATACATTGAGAATAGTATATTAAAAAGTGCTAAAAATATATTCTCCCCTTTATGTTGCCCCAATAACACTTCTGGGAAGAATGTGTAGTGAGGGGAGAATATACCTCTTGGAGATTTCTGGTTTTACTCCTTCCTCTCTTCTTACCGTTACTAGACACCGACACATGTTTGCATAAGCCACAGAGAAACTGGGCTCATCGATAGCCTTCTCAAAGACCAGGTCAATGACTCCTTTCAGCCGCTCCTCTGTGTCAACAGTAAGTCCTGACACTTGCTTCATCAGTTGGTTGAACATCTGTGGTGTCAGTTTATTTAAGATACTTCGAACTTTTCTAAAAAGTTCCTAGAAGGGCCACAAAAAAGAAAAGAGTGTTACAGTAACTTGGACAGGATGATTCTTTCTGTAAGGATTAATATTTTTTTTATAAGTTCAACTTCCCAAATTAACAAGGATTATGAACTCTTCACAGAAATAATTAAGTCCATCTATTTCAACAAACATCAAACAATTATACCACTTCTTTTCCGTAACTGATGAGAATTCTAGGAACTAAGTATAGTCACTGGCAGGAGTATCCTCTGGTACATTTCTCAGGGCAATTTGGCAATGTGTATTAAAAGCTTTAAAATTGTGATGTATCTTTAAAGCATAACAAAACAAAAACAAAAAGAAACAAAAAAACTATGATTATCTTTTGAAACAACTATTATACTTTTAGAAATTTATTCACATTTAAGGATAGGTACAAAAGGTTTTGGTCACAATGACTTCCATCAGTACCCCCTTTATAGCAAACAACTTAAGTGTCCTAAAATAGAAAACCTGTCTAAATTATGATATAATATAAATTATGGTATAGAATACTAGGCAGGAGTATTTTAAACTCTCATCAAATTAAAAATAGAAGAAAACTTCCTCAACTAGAAAAGAAAAGCATCTATAACTCTACTTAATGGTCAAAGAATGACTGCTTTCCCTCTAAGAATAGGAATAAGGCAAGAATGTCTATTCTCACCATCCTATTCAAAGTCATACTTGAGGTCCTAGTCAGTGCAAAAAAGCAGAGAAAAAGAACTACAACCTGTACAGACTGTAAAGGAAGAAATAAAACTCTCTATTCATTAATGATATGATTATGTAGAAAATCATAAGGAATCTACAAAAAGAGATACTAGAACTAATAAACGAATCTAGCAACATTGCAGAATATAAGTCAACATACAAATATCAATTTTATTTCTATATATTAGCAATGAACAACTAGAAATACATATTTTAAAAGTACTGTTTACAATAACACCAAAAACCATGAAATAGTTAAGAATCTAACAAAATATCCATAGGAGCTGTATGATAAAAACCCTAAATCACTGATGAAAGAAATCAAGGAGGAACTAAATAAAGCGGTCTATGTCATGTACATGTATTAGAAGATTCATTATTGTTAAGTTGTCAGTTTTCTCTAAACTGATCTATAGATTTAAAACAATAACAATAAAAATCCTAGTAGGGTTTTGGAGCTTTCTGATAGAAATCAAGATGCTGATTCAACAATTTATGTGAAAAGACAAGGGAAAAAAAAAGCCAGAATAGCCTAAATGATTTTGAAAAATAACAAAGTTGGAGGGCTCATACAACCTGATTTCAATATTTACTATACAAAGACAGTGTGGTATTGGCCAGGGGACTGACACATATATCACTGGGATGTAAGTCTAGAACTAGACCCACACATGTATGATGAACTAATTTTCAACAAAGGTGCAAAGAAAACTGAATGGGAAAAGGATAATTTTTTTTTTTTTTAAGATTTTATTTATTTGCAGAAGAGCAGAGCAAAAGAGAGAGAGCATGAGCTGGAGGGAGGGGGAGAAGGAGAAGCAGGCTCCCCGCTGAGCAGGGAGCCTGACTTGGGACTCGATCCCAGGCCCCTCGGATCATAACCTGAGCAGAAGGCAGACGCTTAATGACTAAGCCACACAGGCACCTGAGAAAAAGGATAATCCTTCCAACAAATGGTGCTGGAACAACTGGATATACATAAGAAAGAAAAAAAAAATCTTGATCCATATCTTGCATGAAATACAAAAATTAATTAAAACTGGATCACAGACATATATGTAAAACCTAAAACTATAAACTTCTAGAAGAAAGGAGAAAAATTTTATATTCTTGGGTTATGCAAAGATTTTTTAGATATCACAGCAAAAGTATAACTTGTAAATGCAGAAGTTGATAAATTCAACATGATCAAAGTAAAAACTTCATTTCTGCAAAAGACACTATTTAGAGAATGAAGACAAACGACAGACTGGAAGAAAATTTTTGCAAAGCACACATTTGATGAAAGATTTGTATCCAGAATATAGACAGAACTCTCAAAAATCAATGATAAGAAAACCACCAGCCAATGAAACAGGGCAAAAGAACAGAAATTTTACCAAAGAAGATGTAAGAATGGCAATTAAGCACAAGAAAAGATGTGTTTATTCAATATATTATTCATTTGGAAATGCAAATTAAAACAATGCGATGCTACCACACATCCATTAGAATGGTTCACATTTATAAAGCACAAAATAACAAGTGCCGGCGAAGAAGTGGAGTAACTGAGAGTCTCGAGCCTTGCCAGTGGAAATGCAAAATCGTCCAATAACCACCTTGGAAAATAGTTTGGCATTTTCTGATAAAGTCAAACCTATATTTACCAGATAATTCATGGACATCACAGCTACAATTTTATCCAAAAGAGACAAAAGCTTATGTTCACGCAAATCCTATACATAAATGATTACAGCACTTTTATTCTAATTGCCAAAACCTGAAAACTGTTTCCCCTGTGAATGGATAAACAGTCTGTGGTATATCCATTAACAACGGAATACTAATAGGTAATAAAAAAATAACTAATCATACATATAATGACTACAGATGCATCTCAAATGTAATATGCTAAGTGAAAGAAGCTATATTCAAAATGATTCCATTTATTTGATATTTTGGAAAAACCAGTGCTATTGGGACAAACAGATTACTGACTGCTAGAGGTGGGCATTTAGGGAGAAGATGGGCATAAAGTAACACAAGGAAATTCCTGGGGTCTGATAAAAACATAGCATATCTTGATTGTGGTGGTGTGTATTCATCAGTTGTGGAATTATACACCAAAAATAAAGCTTACTAAATGTAAATTACGCCTCAGTAAAATATCAAGTTGTAAAAATCCATGAAACAATGACATAACTGTAAAGGCCTATAAAATGTTTTATTTGATCCCTATAAAAAAACTGGTATCTGAATATAAGGATTTTTAGAGTATGTGCCAATATGTTAACAGTTGTCTCTAGAAGGAGACAGTAAATAAATCTATTTAAATTTTTAAAAATTATATAGTCAGGTTTTTCAGCAATAAGTCAGCATTGCTTTTATAAAAAAAATTGAGTTTCTCAGGGGCAGGAAAATCACCAAACTTCTCTCAATTACCTCTACCAACTGAGAATATTGATGAGGTCTAAAACAACCTGTGCTTTATATCAAGGGAAAAAAAACAACCTTGGGGCGACTGGGTGGCTCAGTCAATAAGCAGGCAGCTCTTGGTTTTGGCTCAGGTCATGATCTCAGGGTCTTGGGATCAAGTCCCAAATTATATCTACATAAAGTGTTTGTTTTTTTTTTAAAGATTTTACTTATTTAGAATAACATTTGTTTTTTTTTTTTAAGATTTTTATTTATTTGTCAGAGAGAGAGAGTACAAGTAGGGGGAGTAGCAGGCAGAGTGAGAAGCAGGCTCCCTGCTGAGCAAGGAGCCCGATACGGGACTTGATCCCAGGACCCCGGGATCATGACCTGAGCTGAAGGCAGATGCTTTCACCCAGGCGTCCCTAGAATAATGGAGCTCCATGTTGGGTTCTACACTCAGCAGGGAGTCTGCTTGAGTTTCTCTCTCTCCCTCTGCCCCCTTCCCTGCCCCCACATTCTCTCTCTCCTTCTCTAGTGTAAAATAAATCTTTAGAAAGAAAGAAAGAGAAAGAAAGGGAGCGAGGTAGAGAGGAAGGAAGGAAAAAACCCACAACCTTCAAATATCTCAAATATTTCAGATGATAATCTAAGCTTAAAAAAAAAACTAGGATAAAAAAAGTAATTTATTGAGGCACCGGGGTGGCTCAGTCAGTTAAGTGACTGCCTTCAGCTCAGGTCATGATCTGAAAGAGTTTTTTTGGAAGTGAAGGCAACAATAAAACCACTATTTGACAAAAAAGTGAAGAAACAGAATTAGCAGGAGCACCAAGTCAACATGATGTATACCAATGCAAAAGAGAAGAATGAAAACACCAAAAAAGAGAAGGAATGGAGCAAAAATGCCCATACTTAGAAGAAAAGTATCAGTAACAAGAGGATTGTACTCACCCTGAAAAAGAAGCCTATTAATTCTCTACTGGATTTGCTTTATCTTTTCACTAAAGAAAACTTAGCCTTAGCCAATTAATGAATGATACCACAACACAATAAAATTATGTTTCTGAAATAAAACTTACTACGCAATAGGAAGAACTTTGTTATAAAGTAAACAGAGGCAGATTACAAACTGCAACAAATGGACTATTCCACAATACTGTGGGTAACTTAATTTCTCAAAGCTTCAGTCTTCTCATATGTAACAGAAGGAAAATGTCTATTCCCTCCTTCATAGCTGCTGCAAGAATCTAATGAAATGAGGCACAAATGCCTTAACTACTAAAACAAGACCTCTTCATCTTCAGTGATAAAGATTCAGCAGGAATTATACCTATCTTTGCAAGCCATTTAGGCACCTTATCAATCAGCACTTCTCAGAGGGATCAAAGGGAGAGATGCAGAAGGTTTTTGTAAAAAAAAGGTTGAGACACATTGAAAAGAAATTCAGGAAAGATTAGGTACTTGAATTCAGTGACTCTGGAGAAGGATGTAGTTAGGGACAAATATCTGGGGAAATCACTAAAAAATTGAACAAACAGCCAATTAAGGTTTGACAGCATGGCTTTGTGATGAGTAAGTTCATCATGTATAAGGCACATATTTGACCCAGGAACATCATCATACTGAGTACCTGGGCTCCAGGAACCATGCCAACCGCTTTATATTACTTGAATTCGATCTTCACAATAGCCCTATGAGGTAGGTAATATTAGTATCTTCATTTTACAGTTGAGATTAAGAACTTGCCTAATAGAACTTGCCTGTCTCCAGAGTTGAAGCTTTTGACTACTGGATTAAACTATTCACAATGAGAGGAAAGATATTTAAGGAACGAGACACTGACAAGTCAGCATATGATCTGTGATGCCTAACTCTGATACAGGTGCAAAATTTAAGAGGAGACTCTAGTCTTGGTGCCTAGAAGCAAAAAATCCAAAAAAGATAGTAGAGGTAACCCAAGTATAGGAAGTGGCATTGTGTGTACTGCAAATGATGAATGAAGACTACATAATTTGACACAAAAAAATAATTTTGTTTGGGTTAAAGGAATTCATTCAATTTACCCTAAGGAATTCTGCAGGCAGGTATGCATAGAAAGATGCAAAGAATTCAATTTTATTCCAAAAGACTCCAAAACAAGATTGATTTCTAAATTCTAACTTATTAGAAATGAAGGCCTGGCAAGGAGACATAAAAGCAATATGCTAACTAGACGAGCATAGGATACTGATTGAGAATCTAAAAACACATTTTTAAGAAAAGCAAGCATTGATCTAAGCCTAAATGATCAAAGCCTATGACATATAAACCCTCCAGATATATAGTATTTGTTTTGAAAACCAAATAAAATAGCAGGTTGTCTGGCACCCATTATGCTAAAGATTTTAGAATAATGTTTTTTTTTTTTTTAAAGATTTTACTTATTTAGAATAACGTTTGTTTTTTTTTTTTTAAAGATTTTATTTATTTGTCAGAGAGAGAGAGTACAAGTAGGGGGAAGAGCAGGCAGAGTGAGAAGCAGGCTCCCTGCTGAGCAAGGAGCCCGATACGGGACTTGATCCCAGGACCCCGGGATCATGACCTGAGCTGAAGGCAGATGCTTTCACCCAGGCGCCCCTAGGCATGGAGCCTAAGTGGGGCTTGAACTCACGACCCTGAGGTCAAGACCTGAGCTGCAATCAAGAGTCGGACGCTTAACTGACCGAGCCACCCAGAAGCCCCTGTTATACCATTTTCTAAATGCTGAGTTAAATAATGTAATTAAACTTGAAGAAGGAAGAAAAAAACTTCACACAAGACACACAGATCAGAATCATATCTCACTTAGTGCCCCAATATTGCCCTTAAAAAGCAAAAAAATTACAAAAATCTTCAACTAAAATCTCTAGGTATACTAATAGGACAAAATAACAAGTTAAAGCAAATTAAAACAACAGCATTATAATGCCAAAACAATGTTAGAATGTGCTTCTGTTCTCACCTGAGTTTTAATGTTTTCAGGATCCTCAGCTTGGCTGTCTCGTTTTTGGCTGGGCTTCCAGGCATTCTCTGCCTTTTTCAGGTGCACATCTTCTTTCACAGAGACTGTGATGATCTTCCTGGGCTCTCTTCTCTGGCCAGGTTGAGATCTTCGTGGTCCAACGTTCAACAACTAGGACAAGAATATTCTTTATTATATCTACAAAGTGTACTTAAGATTTACTGCCTCTGCTGTGCCTGCCACTCAAGTCAAGCCTGATGATCACACTAAACACTTCTTAGATGCAAAGATGGATATTAAGCACTCAATTTAGATGTGATCTTTTTGGGGGGAGAAGGTGAGAGGACAACCTTAGAATACCATCAATGTAATGTTCTCCACTACTACAGTTTTTAATCCTAAAGTCCTAAATTAGATAAAGTGATGGAAGATTTTGTTTGATACTGCTGTTGTTCCTAACAAAAAAGAGTACCCCCAAACTGAAGTTTTATTTTTTACTAGTTGTGTGACTTTGGACTGCTCACTTGAATAATTATACATATTCAAGGGCATCAATCATCACAGTTATAAAGCTGCTTCAAAAACTAGGTTTCTATTCTGCCAGTGTGAAATGCAAATACAATTTTATCACAAAAATTCTTTACAGCATAGACATCCAGCCTTATCACAGATTTCAATGGATCCCTGTAAATTTCCTGGGCCAGAAATACTAAAATAAGTCTTTCTTAAATCATTAAATCAGATTTAGCTAAATTGTTCCCTGAAAAAAATTTCTTCTCTTTGTCAGTTCTTAGCTCCTGCTAGAGTCCCACTATACTCACTCTGTTAAAAACACTTGCTGGCATGTCATATCGGTCATCAAATTAAGAACAATTACTGCAAGAGATAATGAAGTAAAAGTTGCATTCTGTGTATTAAAATATCCCTAATAGTTGCTATCTTAAATGCTAGGAAATAACTTTTCAAGATTAAACATGTTGGGTTGATAGTAAGTTCTGTTCCTTCCAGATCTGTTACATTTTTGTGATATGCCATTTCTTTCCTTTTTTTTTTTTTTTAAGTAGGCTGCACAGCATGGAGCCTAAGCGGGGCTTGAACTCACGACCCTGAGGTCAAGACCTGAGCTGCAATCAAGAGTCGGACGCTTAACTGACCGAGCCACCCAGAAGCCCCTGTTATACCATTTTCTAAATGCTGAGTTAAATAATGTAATTAAACTTGAAGAAGGAAGAAAAAAACTTCACACAAGACACACAGATCAGAATCATATCTCACTTAGTGCCCCAATATTGCCCTTTTGAATTTATATGAAGCTTCAGAGAAGGAAGTAGAAACTTAAATTTCATGCTAAATTTAGATAAGAAAACAGGTTCTAAGAGATACATGGTCTGAGGCCAAAACTAATAAGATTGAGAGCCTTTAAATAATACTCATTCTCAGAATTATACTTCACCATCTGCCCTAATCAGTAATAGCAGTATTACCAAGGATCAAAATATAGAATTCCTGGGCAATACACATCAATCTTGTCAAATATATCCAGCTAAGTACTCAGCATAAATGATACAATCTCGGAGTATTTGGTACACATTAAAAAGCCCAAAGTACCACACATAGTTTCACTAAAAAAGAACTGAAGAAGATCACACTGGAAAAGTACCAACAGAGAGCAGTTGCTAAACTGGACAGTACTACTATAAAAACATTTATTTATAACTGAAACTTTGATATAATAGCCCAGACAAAACCATTCTGATAAGAGAATACAATACACCAAATATTGTCTGATTTTTATAATTCAGGTTATATTCTAGTGTAAACTAGAATGGATTACTAGTGTGGGTTAAAATCTTTTTCAATGCTTGGGTAAGTTCAAATAAACAATTATATCACAGGACATTTAAACTAATCCATGCATTTGCACATAAAAATTTGTCTAGAACAAAGATTAGTGAGTGTAATGAAAGGTAATTATGTCAAAAGCAGGTAAGAGCCGCAGTAATCGTAATTTGGGGGTATAATTTTAATCATGTTTGAATGAAGTATGAAATTTCCATTTCCAAAAAGTACTTACTGGAAATATCAATGAATATGCAGTGAAATTCGAATATAGAAAGTAAATATGACTTATGCCAAATCTCTACCAGCTCCAAGACAAATACGTATGGATTTTAAATGAACTACATAAAGATATGAGAAATATTACTAAATAGGTAACAACGTTTCAAAGGAAAGTAAGTTTTGAAAAGATAGCATAAGCTGTTAGTCCCAGATAAAAAGTTGGTATTATAACCTATGTGCAAGCTCCCAAGACAACCCTGAAAATTATTATTTGGTTCACTGGATATAACTAAGAAAGATATTGTTCACAAATATTTAACCAAGAATACTGAGTCTTCAACAGATCTATAATACTTACAAATGATTAACACAATTAATAAATTAATCTCTAATGTACTAATGCTTATACTCTGAAAATGAAATCACTGTGTGGAACATCAATGTCTGAGAAGACTATGGTACAGCAGAAAAAAGAGGCAGATTAGAAGACAAAAGGACTGTGGACTTTGAGTTCAATTCTGCTACTTATGAGCAAAGTTACTGTGAACAAGTCTCTGAACTTTGTTGAACTTAGGCTTTCTCATACATTAAATGCCAGTCCTACCTACAAAAGTTATTATGAGGATCAGGGATATAAGGCATATAAAAGGACCTTAAAAACTAGGTGAGTTATCATCAATACCAAAGAAGAAAAAGAACTTTTTAAAAAGTGTTATCTATATTGATATAATTAACCTCGAACATTTCATGTCCTTTGTGTGTGTGTGCATGTGGAAAGTTTAATACAAACTGTCAAATTTAGAGCATCCTTCAAAAGATGCACCATATATAATGAATGATTTATTTACTAAACACACATAAAATTAAAGAGTATGGAGTGTATATATATAAAAATGAGCCTGGTCTCCTTGCTTAAAGGACAGACGATCCTGATTGGAAGAGGAACTTCCTGGCTGGCAGAGGAATTTTAAGGTATAACGTGCTCAGGGCCCAAAAATGTGACAACTCAAATGAAACATCAAAATTTGGCACTGATTGGGGCTCCTGGGTGGCTCAGATGGTTAAGCATCTGCCTTTGGCTCAGGCCATGATCCCAGGGCCCTGGGACTGAGCCCCGAATCGGGCTCTGTGCTCGGCAGGGAGCCTGCTTCTCCCTCTCCTTCTACTGTTCCCCCTGCTTGTGCTCTCTTGCTCACTCTGTCAAATAAATGAATAAAATCTTTAAAAAAAAAAAAAAAAGGCATTGATTAACTAGTGAGCTGCACTTTTTTCCCCAGGTGAACTGAGTTTTAAATTTTTTTTTACCCACTCTCGTATATTTTTCTTAAATGTATTAAATAAAAATCATACCCATCTCTGTTCATCTGAGTTCAGTATACATTGGTCTTATCTCATTCATAGACTATAACCTTAAACTCCTCTGCTTACCTGAATAACCAAAGAAAAGAGGACCAATATTCATCCTACCAAGTTTTAAAGAGAGGTAAGCTAAGTGTTCCTTTAAGGAGAAAGGGAAGGATGATATAAGCTCAGGAAGCCTCTTTGCTCCTAGAATTTTTATAATAGCTCAGCTAACCTCAAAGCTAACTGAAATAAATATGAATGGTAAATTACTAGTCTAGGTCCACTGTCTCTCTCTCAATACATGTCTTTTGGGGCACTTTCTGTGATGTCTGCCCAGATTACTATTAAAATTAACATCACACTTGCTGAGTAATTTGACTTTTAAAAAAGTAGAGAAGATACTGCCTGAGTGCTTCCAACAGATCTATACGTTACTACCCATCACAAGACCTTTATGTTTGAAAATGTTATGTAACTGCATATGACATGTTAAAACAATTGCTACCCATTCAACATATTTTTTAACAAGTCTTTTGCAGTTAAGTTTATATAGGAGTCATAGTTACTGAAGCCACACCAAGAAGCTAAGTCTAACAGATCTTAGTATCTTTGGATGGTAATCATTTATAAGCCAACTGGGAGGCTGGGAAAAATGATTAGAGGTATGGAACCAAAAACGATGAAGCGTAGGACTGCTGCTTTTTCCAAACAGCATTATTAACTGTTCCTTTATATGTTACATAGCTATATCCTACAAAATTCCCATCTGAATCCACAACAATATACCAAGGTAAGCAGGACAAATTAAGTGGAGCATGTTTGTTAGCTATGGGAGATGCTGGAAGAATAATTACTTGCATTAGGCTCAACATATCAGTATTACTCTGACGGATCACAATTTTACTTAAAAATTAGCTTGTGGCACATGACAGATCTATTTAAAGAAAGTGAAATAACTAAAGCTGACTTTTTTGGAGACATTACAAATTCCTGATAATGGCTCATTTCCAATCACATTACTTTGTACCAAATAACTCATTTACATATGTAAGCAGATAGATTAGTGGGCAAACATACATTGTGGTAAATTTAAAATTCATTTTCTAATTTCAATATTTTGAAAGAGACATAGCTTATTCTCAATCCACAGCACTTCCTTTTTGCTATACCTAATTATTAAACAATAGCAAGCTGGTGCTGAAAAGTGGCAGTATACACTGAAAGAGGAGACACAGCAAATCATACCTTCTGTTGAGTGACATATGAACAAAGCAATATGATAATGACAGATGCTGTTAACCAGAGACTAATCAAAATGGCATCAACATTATTTCTAGTGTTTGGCAAAACAAAGATATAAATCAAAACCGAAACAAAACCAAAAATAAATGCTAACAGAATACAATGCTTTACACCACCAAAAAGGGAGATAATGCTGAAAAATAAGGTATCAAATGGTTTCTAGAAAACTGCTTTCTAAAGACTTTCTGGTGAGGTAATTAAAACTTGAGAAAAATTTTAATTTAGTATTTACAGAAAATAAAGGTTAAATTTCCAACCTGTGTGAGAAAAGAATATCACACACAGAGATATCCTTAAGATGGTAATGCTCAATAAATAATATGCTTCAAATTAAGGAGAGTTTTCTGTAGGTTTTACAAAGCCTTCAACACATTGTAGGCACTGAAGTATTTTTAATAAGTGTTTGGCTGCAGGCAAACAACAAATAATTCAAATATCTACAAAGTGACATTGGTTTCCTGATGGGTACAGTCTTATTTCAAAGCAGGTTTCAAAAGTTGCCATTCCAGAAATAAAACGGTGATGGGAAAATAAAAAGTGACACCTTAAATAAAAATATTTTTACAAACATAAAATAAAGTAGTCTTAATAGGGTGATCTGCAAATGTACATCAAACTCCAAGCTCCTCCAGAACTTTAAATTAAGTGCTCTCTATACCATTCTAGTTTGGGAAAAACAGGTTTTCACATCACTGGCAACTTTTTCTGCAAGTCTACAAAGCATGGAGTAGGCACAGCCTGCCGCATCTTGCACAGCGCAGTGCCCCAGCATAACTCCACTGGTGATGTCACTTCTCCCACTGAAGAGCCTGCCACTGGGGGTGTAAATGCAACCTGCAGTTTACCAATACTGCACTCTTTTGTACATGTCATTTGTTCATATATTGACTTCACAACCTATAGTAAGTGAGAAAAACAAAACAGAAACTATGGTAACACCAGAGACTATTGTTAAAAAAAAAAAAAAAAAGGATTCAGCGCACCCCTAGAGGCAAGCTCTTCAGGGGTGGGTGCGACATCGCCAGTGGAGTGCAAGCTGGGGCTTTGCTCTGTTCCAGAATTGGCAATCCATGCCTGCTCTGCACTTTGCAAATCTGTAGAAACAAAGACAAAGAGATGACCATTAGCTGACTGTCATCAGAGATCTCAACTATATCAGGACACCTCAAAACAGGAATCCTATTTAAGGTTGGCTCTATTTTAACCCATTTGCAGTTCATGTCAGTTGAAAAAAAATGAAAAAAAAAAAAATCAAGACCAAATTAATGCAGACCAGCTTCTCTCAAGTAAAAATGACTCAGTGTATTCTTTATTTGCTTTAATATCAGTATGGAAAAAAAGACAGTCTTCACCTCTTCTACTTCTTCTTGGTTAAAGGAATCAATGAAAAAAGCCGCTCTCTTGCCGTTAGACAAGATGTCATGAAGCCTATGACAGTTTCTAACTAATTGGGTTGTAGGGAACTTGCACTTACAGGTACACCTCTTCCACCAGGGGTTTGCCTTCCAAAATCTGCAAAGGCTGGAGTAAAGTCTGGTCCTCGAGGCAAAATCCGAGGATCCAGAGTTCGCATTGGCAATTTGGGTTGGTTGATCTGCATGAAGAAGCAAAGGAAAGCTTAACACAAGTTTCAAAACATTCAGTACCAAAAAAGTAAAAACTCAGACTGAAAAGTTATGTCAGCTAAAATGATGAGCACTGGCTTTCTGAGGCAGAGAAGTCCAATGTAAATCATGGTAGTTTCTCTGGACTTAAGCCAGAAATAATTTTCTGATGCCCTGGGACTGATTAGGCCTAAAATTTCCGAGGAGAGGCTAGACACAATCAGTAGACTGCCTCAATAGATACTCAAGGACCAGCAGAATGGCACAAGAAAAGCTATGAGATCCTATGACCTACGGACAAATTTGGGGATTTTTTCCAGGATATTCACCAGGACATCAGAGCACTTGCTTTGAAAAATCCTGCTATCACATATGTCAATTTCGTTGCTGTTGTTTTATGGTTAGGAAAGCAAATATTCTGAGTGAACAGGAAGTCTCTAAAGGAGATATTTTTCATGTGTGATCAGTTTAAAATCTCACTCAATTTGCCTTGTTAGTTGGAGGTATCTGGCTTTGTACAGGCATGTATTGTGACTGTATATGAAACAAAGTGAAGTAGCTCAGGGAGAAATCAACTAAAAATTGGTTTGAAGTCAGAAACCAATAAGGTAGGCAGACAAGAAAGAATATTTTCTAGAGGCTAATCTGATTCAGTGTATGTAAAACCTACCCTCTAAAGTAGTCTCAAATCAGCACTGCCATATTAGTACCTAAGAGAGAAGACTTACATACCAAGAGAAATAAGAAACCCTATTGCTATAAAAGAGGAAAATAATACACATAGGGTCTGAATAAGGAGCTGCTGGAAATCTCAAAAAGAGGTAGATCTCATTCTGAAAGATAGTTACCCTCTACACTTCAGTAAGGATTAATATTTTCTCTTCAAAACAAAAATATTTTAAGCTTGGTCATCATCACTGGTTCATCACCGATATACATAAAATTGGGCAGATACACATCTGACTCTACTCTTTTTAATTTAATAACGACAAAATAAACACTCTACTAATTTCCTGTATGCACCATTAAGATCAGATGTAAAGAGAATAGGTGCCTATTTATTTGCCAAAACTGAAAAGTAATCACTATAAGTATATATTAGGGAAATTCTGAAATACATTTTTTGAATTATATATTATTTGATTACCACTTAAGTTTGATTTGCCAAATACACTCTTAGGCATCTGACCTGTCCTCAATGTCATTCTATTCCATACTGAAATTTTAGAACAGTGAATAAAGAGCTCCATATCACTTTAGCCATATTGGCCCAGCAGACACACATTTTTCACCACATCACTAGGCAATAGCAATAATAAGCAGGCAATTAATGAATTTTAACTTGTTACCACTCAAATATGGGCCAAACCCAAAGTTACAGTAATCTACAATAAACCCCAAACCCAACAATATGTAGGAAAACTCTAATACTTAAACATATATTTTAATTCAAACACATTTAGTCTAACAATTGCTAAAAATTGCTTATACTTCGCATATCTGTACTGATAACTGAAACCAGCACCCTATAGAAAGACAGAGCTTTCTCTTGAGTATACAGCTTACTTTATCAAGAACCACATCACTGATGGGAGGCAGGCCCTCTGGTTTCTGTATACAGGCTGGCATGAACTGGAAGTCCAGCAAAAACTCCCTGTCATATTGCTTCTTGCCTTCAGTATCAGCAGGCTTCCAGGAATCTAGAAAAAGGGATGTAGACAGACAAGTCTCTATAGGGTCATTATATGGATAATCGGGTAAGAGTACAAACTAGATTCCGGTATTTATTTTACCCTGTCATAGACTAAAACACAAAGCAAACACTGAGCTACTGTCAGAAAATGTCATGTAAAAATTTTAAACTGTCTTATGTTCTGTTATCCCTTCTGAATACCTTTGGATAGTAATCTGAAATTGCTACAGAAACCACTTAATATATATATTAAGCAGCCTTTGGCCAGAAACATGTAATAATACTCATTAAATAAACTACTAAGCCTTTAAATACCTCAGAAATAAGAATCTGTAATACTCTTTGGTTTCATGTAAAAGAAGGATACTTCGGTTGTTCACCTGGAAATGTTATTTTGGAGGGGGAAAAAAGGCAAAAGGACACAAAACAAATACAAATAATTTCTGTAAGATTCTGAAAGGCTAAGCAGCTATATATAATTTTCCCCCGACTATGGTTTTTATTTTTGAAGTATAGTTGACTCAAAATATTGTATTAGTTTCAGGTATACAAGATAGTGACTTGACAATTATATACTTTACGAAAGGCTCACTCACCATGGTAAGTGTAGTTAACCATCTGTCACCATATAAAGTTATTACAGTTTTATTGACTATATTCCTTATGCTGTACTTTTCATCCCTATAACTTACTTATTTTGTAACTGAAAGTCTGACCCTCTTAATCTGTTTACCTTTTCTGCCCACCCCCATCTACCTATCCTCTGGCAATCACAGACTGTTCTCTGTATTTATCAGTCTGTTTCTGTTTTTCTATTTGTTTGTTTTTTAGGTTCCACTATTAGTGAAATCATACGGTATTGGTCTTTTTCTGTCTGACTTATTTCACTAAGCATAATACCCTCTAGATACATCCACACTGCTGCAAATGGCCATATTTCATTCTTTTTATGGTTGAGTAATACTCCACTTTGTGTGTGTACACCATGCATGCACAGACACATGTATATACACATATCTTCATTATCCTTTCATCTGTCAGTGGACACTTAGGTTGCTTACATATCTTGGCTATTGTAAATAATGCTGCAATAAACACAGGGGTGCATATATCTTTTCGAATTTCTGTTTTTGTTTTCGTTAGGTAAATACCCAAAAGTAGAATTACTGGGTCATATGGTGTCTCTTATTTTTAATTGTTTGAGGAACTCCCATGCTGTTTTCCATAGTAGTGGCACTATTTTTATTCCCACCAACAGTAATATTTTTAATATTAATTTTAAATTAGTTTTTTGCCAGAGCACTCACTTTGCTACTATGACTATTGTTATAGCTATCATTTCTCACAATCCTAATCTCATTATATAAAGTTAGAAAATTTCTTGAAATTTTTGTTGGATAAGAAAAGCATGTCACAGTATTTTTCTTTTAATTAACAAAACTCTCATCAAAATCAGGCCCCCAGATCACTTCATGATAGTACTCTGGGTCCTTTTTAATATTAGTGATTCTTAATACCTAGGTGATAGACTCATGATGGTCTGTGAGAACACTGCAGATACTTTCAACTAAATCCTTATTATCTTACTATATTCATTAAAAGGCAGGCAGTTTATTGGGATCTAAATTTTAAATTGTCAGGAAGCCTGGGAGGCTCAGTCAGTTAAGCATCTGCCTTCAGCTCAGGTCATGATCCCAGAGTCCTGGGATTGAGCCCCGCATCAGGCTCCCCACTGAGCGGGGAGCCTGCTTCTCCCTCTCTCTCTGCCTGCCACTCTGCCTACTTGTGCTCTATCATTCTGTGAACTAAATAAATAAAATCTTTAAAAATAAATAAATTTTAAATTGCTTTTTTTCCAATTACTGTGAGGGTATATTACAGTTTAACTAAACTATATTCAATAGTTTATATATTTATATATTATAATAATTATAAATTTATAAATTATAAAAATAATAAATATTATATATTTATATATTATATTTATATATTACAGTTTAACTAAACTATATTCAATATAGTTGGGGCTTATGGTTGGGTACTTTTTCCTTGCCAAACTAATAACTGATAGGGGGCACCTGGGTGGCTCAGTCAGTAGAGCATGGGACTGAGAGTCAGGCGTTTGAGCCTCATGTTGGGCATAAAGCTTACTCAAAAAACAAACAAAACACACACACACTGACACAGTCCGATAAATGACAATAGTGTCTCAATCTCCTAAAGGACTGGTGGTAGCCACCAGTGCTTCATGATATGACACAAGCCTAGATCTTTAGAAGTAATTTTAGTATATTGAGTCCTAAAATTTAAAAAAAAATGTAACTATAGCATACCCCTTCAATTTCATAAAGCCCACTGGCAGCAGTTTACTGGTAGTGAAAAGATCATTTTATTAAGGTGGTATCAATCAGTGACTTTCAAACATTTCTTACTACAACTCACAATAAGAAATATAATGACCGGGCGCCTGGGTGGCTCAGTTGGTTAAGCAACTGCCTTCGGCTCAGGTCATGATCCTGGAGTCCCGCATCGGGCTCCCTGCTCGGCGAGGAGCCTGCTTCTCCCTCTGACCCTCCCCCCTCTCATGTACTCTCTCTCATTCTCGCTCTTTCAAATGAATAAATAAATCTTTAAAAAAAAAGAAATATAATGACCATATGACTCAGAACAAATACAAATTTAAATAAAAGAAATAAAAGTTTCTTAAAACATTATTTACCCTTGCTCCTGTAACGCACTGACAATTTTTTATTCTCCATTTTTAAAAATGTTGGTTGTACGTCACTAATTTTTGTCTAAGATTATTGTTGATGTCTGATACTCTACTTTCAAACCCAATGTGACACAGAAGTCACTCAGATTTGGCAAACTAAGAAAAACGTTGTATCCACCCCAAATTTTCGATCAAATGAACCATCTTTCCCCACATGTCCATGCCAAATCACTCCGAAAATCTCAAAGTTAAACATGGTTTACATAGGATTGGGATAGACTTTAATGGACTTGACAGTGCCTAAAGATGAAAGAGTCTCTGGGGCTTATCATGTATTTCACAGGACACTTCTCATATTCCATGTGCTTAATAAGCTAGTCACACTGCTTCTGATGATTGTAGTTTAGTTCTACAGAGTGATTTCTGTCAACAAATTTCTGCTGTGAAATTAGGGAGTTACAACCAACATTTAAATTTTTTTTTTTCTTTTTTCTTTTCTTCCCTTTAGGTAGGCTCCATGCCCAACGTGGGGCTTGAACTCACGACCCTGAGATCAAGAGTCACATGCTCTACCGACTGAGACAGCCAGGCACCCTATAACCCAACATTTTTAAAAGAAGAGAATAGAGTAAAAAATGTCAGTGTATTACATGTAGTAAGGGTAAGTGATTAAGGCTTGTGAAATGATGAGCACAAAGGAGCACTGAAACAGCCCTTTCAATTAAACTAAATAAAAGTAAATTCCTCTTGTAGAATTCCACCAGCCTAGCACTGACTGATATCCTCTGCCAGCTGCTCTGCCAGTAAAAGCAGAATACTAGCATCAGATATCACTTCCGCCCACAGAGAACTCCCAGGATTTGCTAGTCCCTAACTTATGCCTGTTAATCTATTCTGTAAATATTACACTGTGATGAGCCTCTTATCTTCCATCCAATATTTCTCTACAAGGAGCCAACATTGCTATAAGATTATAACAGAGAGAAGGTGAGAAGGAAAGACATGCACAGGAAGGCAGGGATACACTTACCTGGTTTGAATGGGAATGTCACCCCTTCACCAGAACTATCAGTGGAGCCTGAATTAGCATCTATTCCTTCACCCTCAGAAATACTTTCAGCACCATTACGTACAGGCTCAGCTTCTTCTCCATTTTCCTCTACAGTTTTTACTTTTTTTAGGTCAGAGGGGTCTCTTCCAGGATGAAACCCTTGGCTCATTTTATCCTGTTCAGATTCAAGTACTTTGTCATCTGAAAGCTCCTCTTCAGCTTTCGGCTAAAGCGTAAGTGAACACAGAGGTTACACGATTTTTACCATGTAAATATGCATGTAAACCTACACCTATCCCCTCAAAAGGCACAGGAAAACATGTCACTCAAAAAAGGATGTCTGTGTTCAGCATATGGTACAATGCTAAGTTTATTTAAAACACTTTTCTCATTTCATCTCTTGGCATAGAGAAGACAAATCACATGGCTACTGAAATGCTTTCACATGACTAATGAAATCTAAATGTACCAAAGGTTCGAATGGAAAGAACTGTTAATCCTTGCACTTGTTGGACATGAAAGAGTCCTAGTCAGAAATCTAAATCAAGCACTCCTACCCTTGCCACTAAGGCTCAGCAAATATATAAAAAGAAACATTAGAAGGTATTTTTTTGTATTCCTGTTGCTGCTAAATGGAGAGTTTGATGAATAAAGTATCTAGGTCCTGCAAAGTTGATCATCTCTCATTTTACAAGGAGGCCACTTGTTAATTAAAATCTACTTTGTTTATTGGTTCTTAGAAGTCTCTGTGGTTGTAACCTTATTCAAATTATATATAGAAAAGTGCTTGGTATATATTCCTCTATGGAGGGAGAAATCTGGGTTCTGGTGCATCTTATTTTTATTTTTTAAAGGTTTATTTTTATTTATTTTTGAGAGAGAGAGAGAGAGCACACAAGTGGCAGGGGCAGAGGTAGAGAATCTCAAGCAGACTCCATGCTGAGCACGAAGCCTGATGTGGGGCTGGATCTTAAGACCCTGAGATCACAACCTGAGCCAAAATCAAGAGAGGGATGCTTAACCGACTGGGTCACCAAGGTGCTGCTGATGCACCCTATTTTTAAAAAGCAAAATAGAATTGAAGTTATTCACCAGATGATTTTTGACCACAATAGTTTCATATATATCAAACAAAAATTAATTTCTTAGGGCGCCTGGGTGGCTCAGTTGGTTGAGCATCTGACTCTTGGTTTTGGCTCAGATCATGATCTCAGGGTCGTGGGATGAAGCCCCGCAACAGGCTTCTTGCTCAGCGCAGAGTCTGCTTGGGATTCTTTTCTCTCTATCCCTCTGCCCCTACCCTGCATGCACCCTCTCTAAATAATTAAATAAAATCTTTAAAAAAATTTCTTGAGGACCATATATGAACCATCAAAATTCCTTGAGGCACTTCTCCATGAACTTTATGTCTTCCTTTACCATGAAGGGTAAGCACTCTAAAAAAACAAGTCTTTGGAAGAAGCACTCAGAGGAAACAGACATTCTAACTGAAAAATTCATGCTAGGAGAGCAAAAAATAGAGGCTCTGTTGAACTCATTCAACAGAGGATTGTATAAAAGAACGTCATATACACAAGCAAGTGGTTACCCCAATTGATTCATAAAATTGCTTTTTCAAAAAATTAAAGAGTTACAAATCCTACTTTCTTACATAAGTAAAATATTATAACAGGTATACTACTAGTAAATTTTCTTCTAACATACATCAGATCGTGGGGAAAAGACAAAATTTTTAAATGTCAACAGAAATAGATGGTTTTTAGGACTTGCTTCCATAATGAAAACAAAAAGTTCATGCAAACACAAACTTGAAAACACACACACACACACACACACACACCCTCTGTGTGCATATGTGCTTTCTCTACTCGCCCAACAGGAAAACACAGTATGGAAACCATCAAAAGAAAGACAGACATAAAAATTTCAAGAAAATAAAGGCTGAAATAATTTCTTTTTAAAACATGGCGCAGAGTGAGCATCTTTTAAAGTTTGAGAAAAAACAGATCCCCCAAGTTTGAATTACGAATCAACAACCTTACTTTTTCTTTTTCTACATTCTATTGTAGTCTAACTTATAATGACCTTGCAATGACACCTTCTAATTAAGTATAGATCATCAAGATCTTAAATAATTTGGCATGAGAGGGGCGCCTGGGTGGCTCCGTTGTTAAGCGTCTGCCTTCAGCTCGGGTCATGATCCCAGGGTCCTAGGATTAAGCCCTGGATCGGGCTCCCTGCTTGGCGGGGAGCCTGCTTCTCCCTCTCCCACTCCCCCTGCTTGTGTTCCCTCTCTTGCTGTCTCTCTGTCAAAAAATAAATAAAACCTTAAAAAAAAAATAATTTGGCATGACAGTCTGTCGATGGTACTTAAACTTATTAAAGAGCAGTATAACTACATTATACAATTATAGGGAGTTCTTTTTTCAGAGCTTATAAAATAAAGCGTTATTTTAGAGAAAAAATGTATCAGGCCCTCTTCTCTGTACCTAAAATCAGCAAAAGAAAATCTACTGGATATAACTAGAGAATGTATTACCTGGAAAGTTAATTTCTAACTGGAAAAAGAAGTATAAAGAAACTTGGTTCCATAAGCAACAAACCATAATTTAGAGAACACAAAATCATTGAGGTGTCTGAGGAACACTGTTAGAAGGATATTTTTCAAGGGAATCACAAAATTAGCTGCACTAAGTATTTATGATGATTATTTTTCTTTTAGCTGGATGACACTCATATTAAACTAGTTTGTTAACTGTCTAACAGTTCCTAAACTGTTTACTAAGAAAACCAGATTAAAGAAAGAAAATACCTTATTGGCTTGACTGTCAAAGGTTAAACTTTTATAGGAAGCTGTTAAAAGAAGAATTTAGTTGATAAAACTGCCTATTCAACTCATGAGTTTTTAAAGTGCCAGATAGTCAGACCAGACAACTATGTGTGTAATAACTGATGAAATATCCTAAAATTTTAAAACACATTTTAAGATGCCTTGACCAGCAATTTTAAGATGAATCACCCTGCACGTTATCCTTCTAGGCTATAATTTATAGAATTTGATAAAATATTTGCAATGATATAATAACCTAATATATAACCTAAAATATGCTAATATCTGAAACCCATTGTTTTAAAGGCTGCGAAAAATCTGGTAAGAAAAGGAGAGCTTGAGGATCAGTGAAAAAAAAAGATATGCACTAAACTACTCTAATAAATGTTCAACTATAGGAAAGACAAGGAATTGGATTTCTGGGGGGAAAAAAAGGTGTGTGTGCAAACAAATTCTTTTTTATTATACTTTTAAACTATAAGGTTAAGAAAAAAGTGATTGATTCAGAATAAGTCAAAATAGTTCTCATGTATGAAGAATAACAATCAGAAGCAGGTTTTAGCCAACTATGGTTCATGGGCCAAATCTGGCTCATCCCATTTCTGTACAGTGTGCAAGGTAAGCATGGTTTCTGCATTTGTAGTCACTGAAAAAATTCCAAAGAAGAATATTTTATGACACATGAATATTATATGAAATTCAAATTTCAATGTCCGTCAATGAAGTTTTACTGGAATATAGTCACAATCATCCATTTACACATTGTCTATGGCAGTGTTTGGGCTATAGCAACAGAGCTGAGAAATTGTTACAGGAAATGTTGGCCAACCCCTGACCTAAAGAAGAGGATGAATATTTGTAGCAGTGATGGCCTACCCATTTAATATTCAATAATGCTTAGAAATCTAGCAAAGGAATAAGAAGTATAACAGAAGAAAATGAATAAAAAATAGTGGAATCAAAGAGAAACCAGTTTATGAAGCTCTTACAGCCATACCAGGAATGTATGAGATTCCCCTGCCTCTGGAAGGTATTTTATTCTCTGTAGGAGCAACATTTTCTTGTTCAGCTGCAAGGCAAGTGCAGCAACTATTTGCACCTCTATAACTTCCTGCCAATTCTTACCCCCTGATAACCACACTGAAATCACTTCCATGAAACATTTTAGTGGTTGCTATGGGACTAACTGTGACATCAGTAGAGCATCATGTAAGAGCAGTGATAGGACGGGGAAGTAACAAAGGGGTACTGTGAACTGCTTGGAAAGGGTAAGAATTAAAACTAGAGAGAAAAGCCTTTTGAAATAAATGCATTTAAAGTCACTTTAAAATATTCTGTATATTCTAATGTTATCACCTTACACATTTAATAAAAATTATTTTAATAAAGTAGATGTTACGAGTTCAAAAAGAAAAAAGCAACATACATATTTTTTAGATTACTCTTCATTTATAAACTTCAGAACACAGCACTAAGGATACTGAGATTATAGACTATGAAAGTGATAGGACACTCCTTAGGAGTAACTCTACCCTTGTTTCTTCTTTACATGGTCTCCTGTCGTGCTGTTACCTACAGCAAAATCTGGCATGGTTTAGTTTTCAAACAGACAAATCATATGTGAAAAGTTGTGTTACTGAAATGCAGTTAAAAGAGGAATTTCCCTAAAATGTACTTGATTTCTACCAACCACTACTGCTACTGAGTATTTGAAAAAACTGTTTCCATTTTTCTTTACCAGAGCAGTCTTTCCATCTAGTTAACAGAAGGAAAAATTCAATTGAGGGGGTTGGGGGATTAACCAAAAATTAAGCATTAAATTAGTTTTGCCATTTTAGAAGAGGAATTTCAAAAGAGAGACAAGAATCTGGTGAAACTGAATATGGTATCAAAAATCTTTTTAAAATTCTGTAGGTGGACCAAAACAATCAGACTGAGCTTGATATATCACGTTTTGTTTGAAAAACAGTATCTCAAAAAAGAGATATAAACCCACACTTGTCTTAGGAAATGGCACCACTACTCTGAAGATAAGTTAAAGAGATTTACTTTGCCCCTTACCTCCACTTCTGCCTCTAACACCTCTTCAGTGGTTCGGGTCCGATCTTTTGGTTTCTTCCAGATCTTTGGTGCAGTTACAGCTGTCTGAGCTGAAATACAAGATCAGGGCCATTACTTCCCACTGCAAAGTCATGTTTGGAAATACCGAGTCTAAAATGATACCTGTATGCAAATTTAGCAGAACACAAGAGGGCTTCACCCATACGGAAGAAACAGCTGAATGATCAAGTGAACAACTGTGTGGTTGTGGCCCAGACATTGCACTAGCACATGTCTTAGGCACAGACTGTTCACATCAGCACATACAGCCTTCCAACCAGTGTCCTAGGTTCCTCCTATTTCATGGTTAGGAAACATAATTCAGTATGTGGTATCTATAGAAGAAATTGGCCCGCCAGCCAATTCTAGACGTGGGTCTGCTTCTATGATGAATTAATTATGTGATCTAAAGCAAGTCACACTTCTCTGGCACCTGCATATTTAACTATAAAGAGGGGAGTGAGATTAGGTGATAGATCTAAGGTTCCTTTAAGCTACAAAAAATATCAAATTCCAGCTTCTGTTTTTTAAAGCTTTCTAGACACTAAAAGAACATTCTGATTAAGATTTCATTAGGCAGCACTTCTACAACATTCAGTTCTCATTTCAGATCAATACTATCAGTCTAGTCGTTCATACTGCTGGGGAGAAAATCAAGAAAGATAACCTAATTTTTACTGATTATATTTTATCAGAAGTTCTAGATGGAAAATTAAGCCTACAAAGGATTTTTAAATATTCATTTGGCTTGCAAATTCCACAAAATCATTCAACATTTGGATGTACAATTTAAAGACTAAACATCAGATAGCAAATAGAGTATTTTAAAGGATCCTACAGAAGTTAACGCGTGAGTCAACAGAAGTAAGGTATGACAGGCAGATGGGTAGGGAGAAGAGTCAAAGAAAGGCCACTTAACAAATAGAGACATTATCAAAAGTGAATAAACACAAAGCTGAAGGTACCCTGTCCTATTTCCCTACAGAAATAAAAGATCACTCATTAAGCAAAACTAACCAATCTCTCTGGACAACCTACTCTTTTTCAGAAGAACAGCAGAATATGAACACTTACACTGTTCTGGGGAACAAGGAAAAGGAAACATTTAACATTCTTCTCAAAATTATTGCAACATCATAAAAAATACTCTTGTAAATTTCCTTTGTTACACACACCTCAATTTTTTTTTTTTTTTAATCCTTCCCCTCACGGACCCTAATGAACAAGAAAACATTAGACCACTGTTATTCTTCTCTGGTGACCTACTCAAAGTAAACTATTTTCCCAAAGTATGGAATTAAAATTGTGGTAACCATGCATGGGTTTAAATTTTCTACTGCTTCACAGTCTTCTATTGAATATGTATATTCATGTGTGTATGTATATATGTATGTAGTGGTCTCTTTTCATTTTTTATGGATCTTCTGATTTTATATAACCAGTCTGTTTTATGTGCATCTCTCCAAAATGTGATTAATTCTGATTCCATAGCAGAACTCTTTTTAAGAGTTAGAACTTAGGAAACACGTACATTTTATTTTAAATTTTATTTCATATATGCATAAATTTAGCTCTAAATTCCATTCAGAGAAAAGGGGAAGACCACTTTCTGGAGGATTCTTTGGTATCAAATATACACTCAGGAGTGGTTTCCTCTAAACAACAAAAACCAAAGATGTGGATAAACTTTATTTTTCAGGAATATATCAACCATACCCACAACCGAAAACCATAAAAACAAAAACAAAAAAACATTTCTTCCATGGACAACATAACATGCTTTTTAAAAAAGAGCTCCCTATGCAGCAGAAATTGTTACTCTGTTTAAGTGGCTATTTAAAGTTCTGATTTAAAGTAGTAATTCACAAAATGAAGTAAGAGAAAATACACACTCCTTTAGGAGATATACAGTCTTTTGAAAACCTGAACACAGATACATACATACCTAGTGTCTGAAGAGATTCTGATCTACATCCCCTCTCCTATCATTACTGAAGGAGAGGTGCACTAAACTTTGGGTGTGCTATAGTGGGGAGGAGGGAAGAGTGGGGAGGAAGACAGAGACATCAACTCTGATTTACTGGACAATTAATCCTGAATTAGCTAGAATAAGAGAATTACATTTAAGACACTGTCTCAGATTTGTTCTTTCCTTTCTAGTCCATTCCCAATGCCTATACCTTAGATTAGGCCCATATTATTGCACTGATGTTACTATAAGATGGTCTCTTAACTGTCTCTGATTCTTACTTTAAGACATCATATACAATACTGACGGATGGCCTTTATAAATAACTAATTTGACTGGGTTATTCTTTTATTGAAAATATTCTTTAAGGCATCATACACCATGCCAAGCAGAGTTCCTTACACAAAGTGGGCACTTAAATTTGCTGACTAAAGAAATAATAGCTGCTCTATGTGAAAGATGTAATACGGACACCCCAAGACAAAGACACGGATTCTTTCCCCCTTGTCTTCAATGAAAGCACCACAGGACAAGGGACAATCTCTGTATGAGATTCAAAATTATCTGAATTTAGAGATACCTAAAGCAGCTTCCCCTACCCCTCATAAGAACTCAACTCTTACAGGCACATTTAATTTCTACTACTTTAAAATACAAAATAAGGAAACGTAAACAAAAAAGCAATACTATGATTTCAAGACTTCTGCAAATTTTTACATTATTGGCAGAAAAATGATGTTTTCCTTGAGTGCTCTTGTTAGGAAATGACTAATATATAAATTCAGAAAAATACTAGGGACACAGACAAGTTTAATGATTGGGTTTTAGAAGATTCTTTGTCTTTTCTCAGACAGAGACTCATGCCAAGACTGTATCAAGTTAGAAATGTTCCCATTTTCAACTCTCCCCCCTGGAATGGAATACAGACTCCAGAAAATTGTGCCCTATCAAAACTATTGTAACTGGTAGCGACTCTATTTTAAAAAAGAAAGCACAATGCAATACATTTTAATGACATCTGGTAAAAGCCTGACAGGTCATCCCTGTAAGTAGAAGAGTCCCTTGTTTTTCATTTACTTTTTATATGGCCTCTATTGGAGTCAAGCTTTTAATCTTGCAAATTAAAAGCTAACAACTATCCCTGTGCAATTCAGGAGGTAAGTGCTGGGCTTGGAGAAAGGGGGCTAATAGAGAAGATTCATAAGTTGACTGAATTTTACTAAACCCATGTAATTTTGCACAGTCTTCCCTGAAGCCTGACGTAATTAGAACAGTGAGAAAAACTATTATGTAAAATGGTAGATCACATAAGAAGAATCAATAGCAGCTAAGAGACAGAGACAGAATGCATCCTGAAGAGCTATGGTGTGTAAAACATGATCTAGAACGTACATTGCCTCTCCTTTGCAGGAGTATGAGTGCTAAAGAAAGTCCAAGTAGTTAAGCCCTGGTCACTAATCTGAACTCCTAAGAGATGTCAGAAATAGTGTATAGTAAGTGCAAGAATGACACACATGCCGGGCGCCTGGGTGGCTCAGTTGGTTAAGCGACTGCCTTCGCCTCAGGTCATGATCCTGGAGTCCCTGGATCGAGTCCCGCATCAGGCTCCCTGCTTGGCGGGGAGTCTGCTTCTCCCTCTGACCCTCCTCCCTCTCATGTGCTCTCTCTCTCATTCTCTCTCTCAAATAAATAAATAAAAAAATCTTTAA